GGATCATCCATGTGGATATTAAAAGTACCAAGAATTTTGATAAGGGTGCTGTTAGAGTGGCAGTGAGCCAAGAGCAAAAATCTTAGAAGAATGAGGGTAAAGATGTGAGGACTGGGGGCTCAGTGGGGATGACCGCAACAAAGAGGGCTGAGGAGAACAGTGTGATGTTGTAAGATACAAAGCTCTGGGGTACGGATTTGGGAAGAAGAAAGGTCTGAAAAGGTAGTGAGGAGCATTATCCCATCTCCAGTCTGGCTGTTTAAGGGGCGTGAGGGGGCAAAACGGCCACCATTTAAAGGGGCTGCCGGAGAAGTGGTGTCTGCAGATTTAGTTACAGTGACAGGCGAAGGGCATCGTTCCTAGGAGGATGAGGATAGCAGAGATTTTGCTGAGGATTGGGTGTGTGCTCTGACAGCTATAGTAGTGGATTTCAGAAGCTAGGAGTGGGTGTTGGCAGAGGACAAGGGTCAGAAAAGGAGATGTCCACAAGGTTTGGGGCCCTGGAATTTGTTTGGTAGCAGATTAACAGGAATAAAAAATCCAGTGGTCATGAGGAGGAGGGTGGTGGCTAAGATGTGAGTAGCGGAGGGAGTGGGGGAGGGAGGGCGTGGGGTCTTGCCAGGACAAGCGGTTCTGGGGCTTCGTCTTGATTCCTGCTAGTGGAAGTGCAGAAGCTGGGGGAAATAAGGTCTTCCTGGGGTGGGGAGCTCCCTCTCAATTCCTCCAGTGGGGCAGGGAGCTCCCTCTTGTCTCCTGTCATCAAGGGCATGGTGGCCACAGCAAGGAACAGAAAGAACTCAATCCAGCTTGGGGAAAAGAGTGCTTGCTGGAAGGTCTCTCATGGGCTCCAAGGGCTGCCTGGAAATGAGCAGCGCAAGTTCGTGGCTCCTCTCTTCCATCTTTCTGTTGAGACTCATCAACCAGCTTCGTCTCTCTTGCTCTTCACTCAGACTTGAGCTTTTGAACGACTCAACTGGCAGAAAGAGGTGGTACAAACATGTTTCCTGGGAGGCCACGTCTCTGGATTGTGGGATGAAGAGAGGAGAAATTAAAGAGACGGGAAAATGATTTTAAACTGGACAGACCCAAGCTGAGATGTCTAATTCACTAAACTGAAGATTCTCATGCATTAAATGAGGAGTCATTTAATAATATTTACCACATTCAGTTGAGGTTTAATGATTTAATGAGGTGATAGATAGACAATTTTTAGCACAGTATATCTTACCCAGTTGGTACCCCATACATATCAAATTTTATTTTTAGAATCATGGCATCTAGGAATTTGTCATCATACAGAGGGACACATTTGATTTGTTCCTGTTGTGTGTGAACCACTGAGTTCATGAGGAGGCTGGGGAGGGGGCATGTGTGTGCTGGACAGCAGGGGGGCCCTGGGGTCTGGTTGCCCTCCCCCGCCCCGGGACCAGCAATGGGCATTGACATTTCAGTGCGGCTTTGTTGTCCTTTACTTGGGTCTGAAGGGACATTGCATTTCTATTGTATTTTATTGCTTTTTGTTGTGGAATCCTATCCTAGAGAGGCTTGCTTACATACAGGGACTCCCGACTGTCTGAGGACTCATTCTCAGCTAATGCCAAGGGTCTCGGTGGGCCTCCTTCTCTGCCTGCTGCGGCAGCTCCTGCATCTCCTCGACCTTCACAGCTGACCTTCACTGGCTTGCTTTGATCTGGTTTCTAAGTCAGTTTCTATTAGGACAGACCTTGAATGTGAGCAGCCATGCATTCGCCCCTTGGATAAGAATTTTTAGTTAGTCCTTTCATTTAGAATGTATTGACTTATGTGTCTATCTGAGCACTTGTGGATAAACGTGGGCACGATGCATAGATGTGCCCTCTATTGTGTCTTAAAGAGATCATAACTGTATTGATGGAAGCTGTGTGATAAGAAAAATGTGGTGTGTGCTGGAATCATTTTGGTTCCTACTGAGAAGCCCCAAGGATGCCTAAGTGTACTGAGTCAGTAATGTATTATTGAAGAGGAGCCTATTATAATTCAGGTCACAGTGATTTGCAGCTGCTGCAAGGTCACCAAGACCCCTTCTATGATCTCTGGATTGTCCCAGGTAGCAGAAAATGCTAAACTGTGGATATCAAATGCTGATTTTTCTGATTTCTTGCTTTATTGCTGTGGACCTTGCTGTAAAACATGGGCACAGTTTAGGGAAAATAAACTGTTATGGAACTGAGAAACAAAAGCCCCAGGGCGTTTTTGACATGAGTCATAAATAACACACAGTTGTAACTTGGGAAATATATGACTATAGAAACTCTTTGGATATGTTACCGATGATACTTTTGATCAGTTTCTTCCAATTTATCCTATCAGATGTCTGAAAAAAGTAGATAAGCGACTGAAGACAGGTGTTTTAAAACAGATGATTTAAAAATATTAGAATTTTTATGCCTATCCTCTACTGACAGACCAAGTTTCTGAAGCCAGGTTACTTTTCTTCATTATTAAAAATGATAAATGATGAACCTACCATAAAAGCTCTTATCAGGACCCGTGTTCCATCATCACTGCTCTTGAAGGGGCATGGAATATACTGGTTCATCCTCTTTAGAATATCATGGTGTTTTGTTACTTCACTCTCTCTTGTTTTAAAGGATTTCGTAGCAAAACACATACTTTATTACTTTAAGCAGATTTTAAAGACACTTGGTGAAATATTGCATGGTTGTTATTATAAAATGAAGTATGTTGATTCAGTTTGCCCAGTTCTTGGAACAGGAAAATTTATAACGTTATCTTAAATTATCAATTTGAATTGCAAAGAACCATCCTTTTATTATGTAGAGCAATTCACTAAGGGAAACATGATATATGTATGGAACTTTGTGTAGGGGGAAAGATTTTGATTGTTACAGACCATAGAATATAGCATCCATGGTCTCCAATTAACTCTAGGCTGAGAAAAAAAGAGCCAGCCTACATTATTCCCTGTTTTCTGGTCCTATGTTGGATCCTGGTTCTCGGTCACGCTGAACCATGGCGATTCAAACACTCCAGGGCCATAGTGGGGTGACTTACTGAGCAGCTTTTTCACAAGCTGTTAAAAGAGGATGGACAGTGTTGTTAGTTTTAATTGGAGTATGATTGCTTTATAATGTGTTAGTTTCTGCTGTACAACAGTGTGAATTAGCTATTCGTATGCATGTGTCCCGTGCCTCTTGAGCCCCCCTTCCCCCTGCATCCTCCATCCCCCTTCTCTAGGTCATCACAGAGCACCGAGCTGAGTTCCCGTGTTACGCAGCAGCCTCCCACTAGGATCTGCTTCACACGTGGCAGTGTGTATATGAGTGCTACTCTCCTAGTTTGCCCCACCTTCCCCTTCCCCTGCTGCGTCCACAAGTCTGTTCTCTACGACTCTATCTTTATTTCTACCTTGAATAGTTTCATCTGTACCTTATTTCTAGATTCCATATATATGTGTTAATATACGATACTTGTTTTTCTCTTTCTGACTTACTTCACTCTGTAAAGCAGTCTCTAGGTCCATTCACATCTCTACAGATGATTCATTTTTGTTCCTTTTAAAGGTCAAGTCATATTCAAGAATGGACAGTGTTTATCAATGTATATTTGGTCCGTGATCCAATCCTGGGTTCAGGATGCCCCATCGTGAGAGGACCAGGCCAGTTTTCATCTTTACTTGTCAAAGCTGGTGCCAGTGTGTAGACTAAGGCTGTACTTACCCCTAGGATTCAGCAACCATTTGGCCCCATATGGAGACCCCAGTTCTTCTCCAAAGCCAAGGGTTAGGTAGCGCCTCCATGGAGAGCTTTAAGACAATTTCTTTTGTTGCCTCCAGTTGATTCTCTCACTCCATGCCTTTGCATAGACTCTTCCCTCTGCCTGGAACACTCCTCACTAGCCCCTCTCCTGCCTAACTTCTATTTGTCTCTCAGAACTTAGCTTGATGTTACTCCCCCAGGAGCCCCCAGGTTTGCCTTACATGCTACTTGCACATCCATGCTTCTGCTGGGGGAGCCCTTCCTACTCTGCACTGAAAATTTGGTTTGTAGAACTGCTTCCACCAGTGGGCTATAAACTATTTTCTTTTTATTTAAAAAATGATTTCTTTTCCATATTTAAATCTCTAATTCATATTGACTTTTTGGGTAGAATGTGAGGTAAAGATCTCATTTTATTGTCCTAATATTTACAGAAGAATTCTTCCCTTATCTTTTCCTTACCTGTCTGAGAAGATCATTCTATACTCATCCACTGTTTGTTGAGGGACTGCTAAGTACCAGCCTTGCTGATGCCAGTAATGAGAAAGGAATGATGCTGCTCCTGACCTCAAGAAGCTTGCGTGCATGATGCCTGCTAAGTTGCTTTAGTTGTGTCTGACTCTTTGTGACCCTGTGGACTGTAGCCCACCAGGCTCTTCTGTCCATGGGATTCTCCAGGCAAGAACACTGGAATGGGTTGCCATGCACTCCTCCAGGGGATATTCCCGACCCAGGAATCGAACCCGAGTCTCTTAATCTCCTACATTGGCAGGTAGGTTTTTTTTTTTACCACTCATGCCACCTGGGAAGCCCCAAGAAGCTTATATTCTATCAACTATACTTCAATTAAAATAAATAAATGGAAGAAAAAGAAGTTTACATTCTGTTGGAAAAGAGCAAACAAATAATCATTAGATCATATGAAACTGGCGTTTTTGTAGGCCAAGAATGATCAGTACTGGCAATTTCATATAGTTGAATCCAACCCAGTACAAAATAATCACAGTGTCTTACTTGATTCCAGGGATCAGAAGTAGGGGAGCGACCATGGGAGTAAAACAGGGAAGGAGGAAAGATGAATACATGGGAGGCCTTTGGAGTTGGCCCCTGTGCCTTCCGCTGGTGGTCCATCTGCTGGGACTTCTGAGGAGCTCTGTGAAATGTGAGTCAGAACTGCCTGCACAGGGGCAAAGGGGAAACTTCGTCTGTGAGCGGTCTCTGAGGCGTTACTTCCCCCGCGTGTCATCGACTGGGCCGCGGCTGTGACCAGTGGGTTTCTGTGGCTGTTCCGATCTCGGCATCAGAGAAGGCCTGGGCCAGGAAGTGCGAGGCAAGCCGGTAGGCTGAGGAGAGGCGCGTCACGTCACGCGTACGTACGTGATGCTGGTTGAAGTGGGCCTGGGGCTCTCCTGGGGGCAGTGGCTGCAGTGAGAGACCAGACTGACGCAACAGATGAGGCACATCTACGGCGGGAGGGTGGGTTCTGTGGAGGTCTGGCTGGGAGGCAGCAGGGTGCAGTGACTAGGGAAACAGAAGAAGGGAGATTGAGCTGAATCTTCTAGGGCTCATTGGTCCCCCCAGGTGGAAGTGGGCAGGGGAATGGATATTTCAGGTAGACAGAGCAATCTGGGCACAAGCCCAGAGGTGTGAATGAACATAGCACATTTGGGGGATTTGAAGCAGGCAGATATGGCGGGATTGTAAAGTCGGGGGAGAGGAAGGTAGCATGTGGCTAGAGAGATAGGCAGGAGTCAGATCAAGAAGCCGACTTGTGAGGTGTATTAGTTTGCTAAGGGTGCTGTAATAAAATACCACAAACCAAGGTGGCTTGAACAACAGAATTTTTTTAATTCAGAACTCTAGAGGCAGGAAGTCCAAGATTGAGGTATGGGCAGGACTGGTGTCTTCTCAGCTATGAGAAAGAATCTTCCTTGTTCAAGATTCCTTCAATATTTTTGGTGTCATTCACACTGTAACAACTGCCAACATGATATGTTTTAAAGTTTAATCTGCATTGTTAATATTTTTCTTTTACTGAAGTATAAACAACCAACAGAACAATAGATCAAGCCCTGATTTATAGCAGCTGCAGACTTCTGTTTTGTAAGTGCTCCTAGCGAGGAGTTGGGAAGAGGTGTTCAGGAGCACATTATTACACAGCATTGCTGCTTTACGGATGCAATAGATGTAAATAACCTCAAGAGCATAAATAATAGTAAAATGCAGTAAAATAATTAGGAAGTGATGAGTTCTGAGTTATTTATTTAGATAATACTGTATAATGCTAAATTATACAGGGCTTCTCAGGTGGCGCTAGTGGTAAAGAACCTGCCTGCCAATGCAGGAGACATCAGAGATGCAGATTCAATCCCTCAGTCAGGGCCATCCCCTGGAGAAGGAAATGGCAACCCACTCTACTATTCTTGCCTGGAGAATCCCATGGACAGAGGAGCCTGGTGGGCTACAGTCCATAGGGTTGCAGAGAGTTGGACATGACTGAAATGAGTTAGCATGTACTCATATATTATACATATAAATTAATTTATAAACACAATATAATTTAGTTAGTTGTAAGCTTGTATAATTTAATTTTTAATAATGGCTGCTTTGCTGCTGCTGCTAAGTCGCTTCAGTCGTGTCCGACTCTGTGCGACCCCAAAGACGGCAGCCCACCAGGCTCCCCTGTCCCTGGGATTCTCCAGGCAAGCTGCTTTAGCAATTGGTAAATATTATTCCTGAAAAATTTAAGAGCCACTTCTCATGAGACGGTGGGTACTTGCTCCTGTAGGCCATTCGTTCTCCTTTTCCTCTCCACTGACTCAAATTCAACCCAAGCTTCAAGGTCCAGTCAAAACTCCAACTTGCTGCAAAACCTTCCAAGTACATATCACATCTTGTGAGTGATAGTTGCTCAGTCATGCCAGGCTCCTCTGTTCATGGAATTCTCCAGGCAAGATTACTGGAGTGGGTTGCCATTTCCTTCTCCAAATCATATCTTACTTTCCTTAATTCCTTCAATCCTTTCAGCTGATACTAATCCTTAAAATCTATCTTATACTACTGCTCAAGTTTATCTTCTGTTTTTAGCTGATCTGTTTCATCAATTATATGGTCAAATCTGTGAGGGCACAGAGCTTGCATAGTCATCTTTGTACTTTCTGACAATATCAGCATCATCTTCACACATGAGGTACTAGATATTATGCTGTTGAGTTTCTTGCTTTTTTGGATAAATTAACAATACATTTGTATAATACACAGTTGTCCCCATCTCATAAAGATGAGCACAGAGATGCAAGTCTGATTCCAGGCAAATGGGAGTTTATTGTGTTTGCATAGCTCAGACTCCACTGACATTGGGGGTTGCAAAACTCACTCAGTATGACCTTGACATACACTGTTCACATCTCCAGACCCACTTTCTTTGAAAAGATCCTCCTTTAGTCCTCAGAGCTCTGGCAGCCCACATCCAAGCATCATTACTTGTCTTCCCTTAGTAGCTTCGTCCTTTTCTTATGCAGGGAGTTCTGTCTACCTGTTGAATTTTGAATGAAAACCCAATGGACAGAAGCTCTGTACTGAATTCTATATTTTGTTCCTTGCTGAGCTTCCATGAATATAAAACACCAACACAAAGGGGAGAGTCAGCAGGTAGAGATCAACACTATCCATATTTAATGAGAAGGGAGCCTGAGTTCATAGATGGGAAAACCACATTAGACGAAGACCAAGTTCAATAACTTGCCCAGGCTTACTGAGTAAGCTTCTAGCAAAAAATGAATAAATATCTTATGATGAACTTTCATGATTTATGCTTTAAAGTATTACCATCATTTTAATCCCTAAGGGGGAGGAAAAAAAGCAAGCAAGGAAGGAATTAAGTAGTGGTTGGTAATTGGGAAATTTCCCTCACCTACAATGGAGTGAAAAAGGAGAGAGGCAGGGACCCATATCCTTCACCGAGGCTCTGACTCTCTGTGAGTGGGCTGGCCCAGATCCCCACCATTTTCTCTCCTCAGAAGAAGACACCAAAACCCTCATAATCTCCACCCACTACCAAAAAGTCAGTGGTTACGAGGCACAGAGGCCTGGAGTCAGAGGCACATGGTCTTCCTCCCTGTCTGCTTGTGTGACTCCCGGTGTGGAGCCTCGGGTTGCCCTCAGCTCCCCCGATGAAAGTGTGTCCCAGCAGTTTCTTCCCTGGTCCCCAGCGGTTTCTGACATCTTCCTGAGGAAACCCTTCATGGCAACATGATCAGTGGCCGTGGCTTCAGTTACAGTAACTATTGCTTCCAGAACCCTCTTTGGGTGCCTGGGATCTCTCCTGTGTCTCCAGGTGCTAAGTCTCTCGGTGGCTGGGCAGCCATCATCACTCTTTCAGACAGATGAATACATTCTTTTAATAAACTACATCAACAGATAAAACATGGAGTCCCACCATCAGCCCAGTTCCTATTCACACCCACTCCTTTTGCATTGGACATAGAAACACCAGTGAATCTCTTGTCAGAAAGATCTAGCAAGTCCCAACCCCAAATTCAGTGGGACTGTGCATTGCAGTCTTGTTCTCACAGCTGCTTGCTTATTTACACAGTTGTCTCTCCATTCATTCAGTCACCCACCCAATACTTATTGAGCAGCTAGTATGTGCCAGGTACCACAACATGGAGAATTAGACCAAAGGCTCCTATTCAAAATGCTCACAGCCTAATAATAATGGTAATAATAGTAATAATAATAATAATAGCAGAAAATATAGAATGCTTAGTATGTACCATTTCTCAATATCATGAGGTAAATATTTTTTATTATTCCTTACTTTACAGGTCAGAAAATAAAGACACAGTGAGGTTCGGTTGCTTGTTTTCACATGGTTAGACAGGTGAATAGACAGTTACTGTATCATAGAGTAACCGCAGTGATGCGGGGGAGCCCCCTGTTCGGGGGTATGCTGAGTCAGGTGGGATTCAAACCTACCTTGGTTGCATACTAGTGCCCCTGCCTAATTCTAGGATTTTCCAGGCATCATAAAATTTTAAAAAGGGTTTTTAAGAGAAACTAACAGGAACTTGGATTACTGTGATGTTGAATGGTTTGCCTTGGAAATGAACTGAGATCATTCTGTCATTTTTGAGAGTGCACCCAAGTACTGCATTTCAGATTCTGTTGACTATGAGGGCTACTCCAACTAACAGGAACACAGTAGCAACAAAACAAAGAAGTTATTCATCTAAAGTGGAAAAAAAAGTTCAGCATTAGGGTTTGTGTGATTTTTAAATTTATGTCTCCAGTCTTTCCCCCTAAACTCAACCGTGTTCCTGGAGAAATGGTCTAGTGATGAATTAGAAGGGGTTAGAAGGATTTGTGATTGCAAAAGAATGCTCAGGAGACCTATTCAAAATAGAAAAGACAAGGCATCTGGAGCATGATTCCTCATGTCTGGAAGTAGGACTTCTGCAGACACAGAAAGAAGAGACTGGAACCAGCAAAGCTGTTCTTCACACTGTGGTATCTGCTCAATTTCACCTCCTCCCATTGTGCTAGCTCTGGCAGTTCTTTGGATGTGATTTGATGCCAGGTCTCCTTGAGCTGATTTTTTAAGAACTGAGAGAAAGCATACCAACCTGAATCATATGACCAACAGTTTGAAATTCTTAATAAATGTGCATTCTGGCTACAGCCACATGATACAAAGTCCCTTATCAGCTCTATCAGTTCAGAGAAGAAGTCAGTACAGTGAAAACCCCAGAGGTTTCATGAGATTGAGACAAGGCCTTAGACTGATGTACCCAGCCATTTGTTTTAATATCATGTAGAAACAGAAACATGGTTTGTTTTCTGTCTTTGTTGATATTATGCTTTGGTGATCAGCTAAACCATTCACTCTGAGAGCTGAATTCTTCTGGTGGTTTTTTTCCATACCAGTTTGAAGCATGGCAGGAGTTTTTTCTGTCAGCAAGGACAGAAGATGATGCCAAAAGGAAGCAGCTTAATGAGCTATTGGCAGTGATTCTATACTTGTCTCTAGAAGAAAAGGCTCAGGTTCCAATGTGGTTTTTGCAAAGTAATAATTCTTTGCTGACTTCTTCCTAAACATACCTTCCTGATTGTGAAGAAATAGTCACAATTAATCTTTTTAATTGGGCTTCCCTTGTGGCTCAGCTGATAAAGAATCTGCCTGCCATGTGGGAGACCTGGATTTGATCCCTGGGTTGGGAAGATCCCCTGGAGAAGGGAAAGGCTACCCACTCCAGTAATCTGGCCTGGAGAATTCCATGGACTATAGTCCACGGGATCGCAAAGAGTCGGACTCAACTGAGTGACTTTCACTTTCACTTTCCCTGGTGGTTCAGACAGTAAAGAATCTGCCTGTGATGTGGAAGTTCTGGGTTTGATCCCTGGGTTGAGAAGATCTCATGGAGAAGGAAACAACAACCCACTCCAGTTTTCTTGCCTGGAAAAT